ATCCAACCATTCATGTAGGAGTATTTGTTGATCATTTTAATTACATAGTTCAAAAAGAAATAAAACAACATTTTTGGGGCCCCTAAACGGAATATTTTTGAGAGCCGAACACCCACCCTATAATGATAAATATGTGTGCCCAGTTTTGTCAAGATCCATTAATTCATATTATAACTTATGCGGGACAAACAGGAAATTTTCACTTATATTGTAGCCAATATAACCAGCTTTGCCCTGGGTTTCATTTCTACAGTCTATTTGGTATCATCGAAATTAAGGGTTCTGTAAAAACTACGCCGCTAAAGAAAAAAAACAACACAAAGACATTTTTAATTTAACCTCTAATGAACACATTTATATCAACTTTTGTCAAGATTTCATTCTCGTGTGATCACGTTTCCCGATGGGACCCCGTTTCCCGATGGGACCCCGTTTTCCTATCACCTATCTCTTTACCAAGGGGACCCCGTTTCCCGATGGGACCCCGTTTTCCTATCACCGATCTCTTTCCCAACGGGATCCCGTTTCCCGAGGAAAATCCCGTTCTCTGTGGTATCCCATTTTCCCTACGGCAAACTAGTCAGCGTGCGACACCACACATGTCCGTGAAATAGGATTTCTGCTCCAGTGGCTCCCCCCCCCCCCGTCCCCCCGTAGGCAAACGGCCACTTTATCGTTGATTTTTTTATTTCTATTTGAAAAATATCACAAACCGATGATAAAAAAAAAACATTTCTTGTAACACTATCTTACCTAAAAAACAAAAATCAATTGTCCTAAATGATTGAAACCTAACACTAGGATCAGATCATCGTTTGAGATAGTGGACCTCGTAACACGCCGTCCTGGCTATGGGGTAACCGTTGATGTTGGTGGCGCATGCGTAGTTCTTGTGCACGTAGAACTTCTTAAATCCCGCCTTCTCGATGGCCTGCATGACCTTCAACCTGGGCAGCAGATAGTCGCGGGCGGATGACGTCACGTGGTACTCAATCAGCAGCTGGCGGACGTTGTTCAGCTCCCCGGCTTCGATCATTTGCGGGACCGAAGCCCATTCGGAGCTCTCTATGTCCATTTTGATGACGTCAATCGGAGTCTTTTCGTGGCCGAGTAGCTTNATGCAGGCGGGTGGGGGTAGGGTGGGGGGGGGGGGGGGGTGAGGGGTGGGAATCAAATTTACTCAAATTTGTGCAGACAAACGGCTTGATATAAAACATCACATCAGTAATTGAACACTAAGAACTAGAAGATATGACCCGGTGATACCATGTTAAGTGGGTAAAATTGGAAGGCGTAGTGCGCTTCTTCCCACAAGGTATCGCCCAGTCTCCAAAGGACATTTAAAATGTTTTTTTTTTAAATTTTTAACGTATGATAAAGAATCGGGCTATGAACAACGGCAATTTACCATGCCACTGAAATGTAATTTAAGAAATTGTATTTAAAAATTCCTTCTTTTTAAAAAAAACAAAACAACCGAAGCATCTATCTAGAAATGTTTGCGATTCCAACATCATTGAATTTTGTGAGATGTTTAGCTACTTTATAATTTCATCTACCCAACCCTTCGACACAAACATGTGACGTGCATTCTAAAAATTGTAAAAACATATTTTTGAATAAATTTTTTTTTATCAATCTAATGTAGCATTTAAATGTCAATAGCTTTTAAATCTCGATTGAAAAGACGCGAGACCCACCTCGCAGAATTTGAATGTTGGGAAAGAGGGGGTGGGGGGGGGCACGAGGAATGGGGAGGAGCGAAGCCCCAAGTCGACATCAAAATAAAAAAAAAATATATATACATATTTAAAATATTTATTATCAACTTCGCTTTTGATCGTGTGTTTCTTTCTGTCTAGCTGTGTGGCAAAATCTTCGCACGGTTAACTGAGCCATTTTACCGTCAACCTATCGGGCTGAAGCTCGGCACTTAGACTCATTGCCGATGACAATACATTCACTCGAAACTAGAGACCGACCGAATTTCGGCTTCGGCTTCGGTTTCGGCGCCGAAAGTGGCCATTTTATCACTTTCGGCCAAGTTTCGGTTTCGGCCGAATCTGAAAAGTTAACTTTCGGCTTAATTTCGGTTTCGGCCGAAAGAGAAAAGTTAACTTTCGGTTTTTCTTCGGTTTCGGCCGAAATTGACTTAGACTTTCGGCCATCCGGCCGAAAGTGACTCAGGTTTTCGGTCATACTCAGCGAAAGCGATATTTAACAACAAACTTAGGGACATTTAAGAACAAATTAATCGATCTTTGAAAACAAACTAAACGATATTTAACAACAAACTAAGGGACATTTAAGAACAAACTAAACGATCTATAAAACAAACTAAGCGATCTTTAAGAACAAACTAATCGATCTTAAGGAACAAAATCAATTATCTTTAAGAACAAACTAAGCGATCTTTATGAAAAAAGTAAGCGATCTTTAACAAACTAAGCGATCTTTAAGAACAATCTAACCGATCCTTGACTACAAACTAAGCGATCTTTAACAACAAACTAAACGATCTTTAACAATAAACTAAACGATCTTTAACAACAAACTAAACGATCTTTAACAACACACTAAACGATCTTTACAACAACAAACTAAACGATCTTTACAAAAACAAACTAAACGATCTTTAACAACAAACTAAACGATCT